CTCCTTCTCCTCGCTCTCCTCTTTTCTCTTCCGATCCCCAGTTGTCTCCTAAGGGGGGTCCACAACGGCTGGAAGAACACATAGTCAATAGCCTGGTCAGACTTCGGCCCAACGTTTGACCGCATGGACGCTCCCAAAGCGCAGGGCGACCCCCCAAGAGGCAAACATCGCCCCAATCCGTTTGGGGAATCAGACATGTCCAGCATATTCGTAGTTGGGTTGGGACAGCGTTCATGTGGAGACGGCACAAGAGGCTCACACGAAAGCTCCCAGAAGGCCCACAAGGGCCCCAAAATGGCCCACGTGAGATCCAAGACGGCCCAAGGGGTCAGGAGAGCCCCAAGGGGGGCCAAGAGGGCTGCAGGAGGGCCCCAAAGCGGCCCACAGCCCCGCTCGACGGCCCCCGAGGGCCCCAAGACGATCCGAGAAAGCCCCAAGACTACCAAGGAGGGCCCAGAAAGGAGCCCCGAGACGGTCCCGAGAAGCAAGATTCGCTGGTGTTCGCCATGTTTTCTGCTAGTTCCCGTCCCCTCTGAACGTCTTTGCAGGGCCCCGACAAGGTTGCAAGTGGGAGACGGACAACGCGAGAACCAGTGTGAAACGCCCGGCCTGAATGCGATCGTTTGTTTACTCATTGTTATGCCGATCGGCGCGGGCCCCCACCCCACCCCCCCCCTCCCCCACCCCCCTGGAGTAGATGTGGCTGTTTTTTGGCGGCTGTTTCGAGCGGGTGGAGCCTCCCCCAGAGGCCGCACTGTTGCAAACAGTGGCAGTAAGCAGTGGTCCAGAGCCAGATCCCCCCCTCCACCCCCCTTTCCGCCCAATGTCGAAACGCCGATTTGTTAGAAACAACAACAACAACAACAACAACAACAACAACAACAACAACAACAACAACAACAACAACAACAACAACAACAACAAAACTCCTCGCCTGCTCCTTTTTCGCAGAGCATGCCCATCTGCGCTCCAGGACGGCCCGAGAGAGCCAGACCGAGAGAGCCAGTGTGGCCTCGCCAGACGCCCGCCACGGCCCAAGAGGTCCCCACGAGAGCCTCGGAGGGAGGCCCACGAAGAAGGCCTCAAGAGGCCAAAGCCATAGACTATAGATTGCCCTGATGGCTTCCCCCGGCCTTGCGGATCGCGGAGGGGTTCCCGTTGTGTGTGTGTGTGTGTGTGTCTCCCCGAGGGGCGTCGGGGAGGTTAGCCCCTCGAAACCCGGCCCTGGGCACGGGCGGAAGACGGCGCAAGATGGCGTTCGCTGTTCCGGGGCGCGAACACCACAAGACGGCTCTCAAGATTGCCGCGGTTGCCTCGAAGCCTCCGAGATGGCGCCAGACGGCCCCAGGATGCCAAGAGACGGCAGAGGGGCCTCCTCCTCCTTCTTTTCATCCTCCGCCTCCTCCTCCTCCTCCTCTTCATCCTCGCCCCCTCCTCCTTCCTCCTCCTCCTCCTCCTCCTCCTCCTCCTCCTCCTCCTCCTCCTCCTCCTCCTCCTCCTCATTGTCCTCCTCCTCCTCCTCCTCCTCCTCCTCCTCCTCTTCCTCCTCCTCCTCCTCCTCCTCCTCCTCCTCCCCCAGACGCCCTAAACTTTGCTCCTTCTTGACGTGCACCCTGTCGAAGCGGGATAAATCCCCCAGAGCCCTTTCAAAGGCACACCTGTCTCCAGGAGGCCTCGAGAAGCATCCGTCGAGAAGCATCCGTGAGTGGCCCGAGCCTCCTTCCTCTTCTTCCTGTTTCCTGGTTCTCTCGTTCCTCCTTCATTCCCTCCCTGAACCTCTTAGAGAGCCCTCGCGGTTCTTTCAGTTGGAAGCGGACAATATGGGAACCCACATGGGACGCCTTGCTTGAGTCTCCTTCAAGGCGCCCGTCCCTCCTCGCTCTGTCCTCACAACTCCCTGCCCCGCGAGCCGTGCGCAAAGCACGGGAATGCTGAGAGGCCCCACAGGAATCTCGAACACCTCCTCCGATTCGTCCGGAACAACCCACAGGCTCCTTTTGCGCCCTGTCTTGCCCTCCCCTCCCAGCACATCTGCGCCTTTGCTGTCTCCCTTGTGCAGTGTTGTTATTTGTGGCTGATGTTCAAAACCCACGACCTCCTTCTCATCCTTTTTCCATCGAGCCCCTCAACAGCCTCCTTCTTCTCCTCCTCCTGTGTCGCCTCCCTCCCCCATCAGCAAGTGCGAAGCCATTGTTCGGCCATTGTTTTGGCCAGCAACCTGTCGGACTCGCTCACGATGCGTCTAAGCACTAGCCTGGCTGTTCCAAGCAGCGTCGCTTCATGTGATAGTTGTTATGCATTGCTTTGCCGATCGGCGCGGGCCCCACCCCACCCCTCCCCCCCCACCATTGAGTAGATCTTGGCTGTTTTTTGGCGCCTGTTTCGGGCGGGTGGAGTCTCCCCCAGAGGCAGCACTCTTGCAAATAGTCGCACTAAGCAAAGGTCTGGAGCCAGACAACCCCCCCTCCCCACCCCCTTTCCGCCCAATGACGAAACGCCGAATAAACAAACGCTCACCATAGTTCCCCTCGTTCACACACACACACACACACACACCCCGAATGGCCGACGCGCCTTCGAAAGGTCCACGAATAGCTTCTAGAACCTTCCAAATACTCGCCACCGCAAGGGCCTAAGACGCCCAGCATTACGACCTCTCCCCCCCGTTGAAGTGGAACGTACACAACGTGGGAACCAACATGGCACTTCCATCGGATCTCCTTCTTCTTCTTCTCCTACTTGTTGGTGTTCTTGCCCAATCAGCGCTTGCACTGAAGGAGTCCTTGCGGAAATGGATCGATTTAGCGAAAGTTTCCCGACGATTTTGGTAGCCGGCTGGGTTCCCAGGTTCCCGGTTCTGGGTTCCCGGGTTCCCGGTCGATCTCTTGATCGACCCCTTTGTCGATCCCATTTAAAACGAATGTTTGGTTTGGTTCTTCTCTGGTGTAGTCAGTTTTAATGTTATTTGCATGGTTATTATTATTCGTATTCGTAAGATCGGTATTCTCTGTTGCTGCCTCGCTCTTCACGCTCTTTCCCATCTCCACCTTCTCGGGCGAAGAGAACTATGCACATGCACCGATGCCGGCCAGGCCCATCCTTGGCCCAGGATCGGTGCATGTGCCCTCCTGGCCAAGGTCCTGGGCTCAGGATGGACCTGGCAAAAGTCGGTGTATGTGCATGGGTTTTTTTCTCTGCCTTCCTTCCCCGCTTCATGCACGGCCGCATGTGCTCTGAGGTCGGGGGTCAGGGCACTCTTCAGGAGGGGAAACAACACAGACAAGATGAGTCGTCGATTCCCAAGCAAATATTGGAAACTATGGGGTAGCGGGGGGAAGACGAAAACCCAGAACATATGAGAAAGGATAGGGGGAATCCTGTTATTTGTGTATATTTGTTTGTGTGTGTCCCAGGGCCCCTCTGACTCTGTCAGGTCTTCGAGAGAAGACAGGGGGGGGGTGGACATGCGGACGCGTCCGACGTGGAGGGGGGGGGGTCGGTGTGGGGAGAGTCGAGCAGCCCCCGCAGCCGAGTGCCCCTGGGCGGGTCGACGACCCTCAGCTGGCCCCCCTCTCCAGTACAGCCAAGCTTCAGTCGGGCCTGGCCCTCTACTAAAGGGGGAATATTCAAAAATGGTCAAACAGTAGTCTGGGGCTATTTTCTGAGCATTTCTTGACCATTTTGGGATATGTTTTGCGTACTTTTTATTTTTCGTCGAAAATCCCCCTGTAGGGGGACAAGCCCGACTTAGCCCTGGACGGGTCAACGACTCGGCTGGCCCCCCTCCTGCACAGTCAACCCGCATAGTAAGGATGGGCAACCTTCCCAAAGGTACCCTTGCATCCTTGCCTCCTCGGTCCATCCTTGGCCACTCTCGCTGGCCGCGCCCAGCTCGAAAAGCTCCGAAACGGCCTTCCAAGGCCCTTGCATCCTTATCGCGCATCCTGCCCATACATGTCGACTGTATGTCCAGAACCGATTTAAAAGAAAAATGCTGATCCCTCCTGGACGGCCCCCCCACGGACCCCGAGCGCCATTAATTCGCAGACGGGTACCGATGTGTGTAAAGTGTCCCTTCCGGAAAATACGCGTTGAAGCAGGAACGTCGTTATAAATATATATATATATATATATATATATATATATATATGCATGTATGTATTAGCACATTCATTGAATGCACGTTTGTTGTAACATTGTATAAATACAAACATAAATGCACATGCATTCTCGTGTGCTGGTAAGCGCGTCTCGATGTTGCGCGTGCCCCGATGCATAGGCGGCTTCGGTCGACGAGTCCGGATTTTTCGTTTTACTGGGCTACTGTATTTTGCGTGCGCGCGTGCGCGTGCGTGCGCGCGGTGGCGACCAGTTTTCGCGCTCGAGAGTATTCGGTGCCAGGTGGGCTTATCTCCGCCGCGCAAGTGAAACACATTGTTTTTTCTCAGCCTTGCCAGACTTGCGGCGCATCAGGTGTAGCACTTTCGCAACAACCCAGAGACGGTGTGCAGGGGGTGGTCCCTCGGCGCAGTCTCTATCCACGCCAGGTTCGCAGGGCGCGGCAGGCGTGGCCTGATGCCAAAAGGGGGTGCGCCGGAATCTGCCCATGAACGCGGGAATCTAGGGCGATTGCGGGGACGTCCCCGGCGATCCGGTGTGCCTCACGTTCTTATTGTGTTCTACATGCGCGTCGATTGTATTTGAGATTATTGTTTTGAGTTTTTGTTATACATTCCATGTTTCGCCCATGTGTTCGGGCGTCAAAATTATGCACATCCCTTGTTTCGTTCATTGCCAAGGCTTTTATATCCCAGTTCTCGTTCTCACTGCTGTCCTAGTCCTAGCTCTCGTCGTGCCTCTCCTCCTTCAAGTGGATGGCTTCCAAACCAGTCTCGACCAATCGTTCCGCTGAGCTACTAGTTTCCTCGCCCCTCTGCTCCTCCTGCTTGTCCGCTTCCTCGAAATCCTCCCTATACTCTCGGTCTCGCAGCCTTTTCATG